TTTATTGAGCTTTTACTATTTATGCCCACTCCTGGTCCCTGAAAAACACTACACTGAGGTGTGTGGCAGCTCCTAAGTAGTCAGTACATTGGGGCCGTGGGATTGTTCTATTATTTTCACTTTGCTCCGGACCCCAGCGGGGCCCCAGGAAGATGGCCATCTCAACACAAGCACACTGCCCTCTGCTGCTGCTGCTGAGGAATCAGCACCTGGGAGGAACTCCTGCAAGCAAGTCAGGGCTGGGGTGCCAGCTCCAGCTGCATCAGCTCCAATTCCCCAGCAGCCCCTGAGCACATCTGTCCACTAGAGCTCCAGCCACCAGTCCAGTCTCAGGCGGACAAGCCAGGCCTGAACAGTGCTGATCCCAGAGGAGCCCCTGCTCCTGCAGCGTCCATCCTCCGCTGACCAGGCCCCACCTGGGGAGCTCCCCACTCTCCTGTGCCGACTGGTGCAGTAGAGATTAGCTCTGAAGGGTCCTGCATACGCACGGAGGGGCTGTGTCTGCAGCTGTGGGAGGAAGAAGCACGGGCAGCTGGCTATGACAGGCTGGAAGAGGCTTGGCCTCCGTGGGTCAGAAGCACAGTCCCAGCTGCTGAGCACAAACAGACCTCCTGGAAAAGCCTGCCCCACATGGCCTGCAGCCTCTCCTACTTACTCCTTGTCCCTCCCCCAAGAGAAGGGGTAGTTCAAATGCACATGGGGGCATTTGTGCATCTTCTCATGCCCCAAAGCAGGAAGCAGCTTCCTAGGTCTGAGACAGTGCCTTTGGGAGCGGGAGCGTGGGAATTGAGGGAGGTGGCTCACTGCCCACAAAGGATCCTTACAGCAGTCAGGCAGTCTTGCATTCCTAGAGGGGCAGGGTAATGAAAAGCAGTCCCTCTTAGCCCTTTCAAAGTAGCACCACGGACTGGGCTTCGGAACTCAGCCCAGTGTCAAGCACAGCTGCAGGGGGTTCAGGTGTCCTCGGAAAGCTTGGTTGGGCCGGAGTACCTGGCTTATCCTGTATTAACCACTCTCACAAACATCTCACAGGTCATCCTGCCATCCAAAGATGGTTTAGCGCAATGCGAGGCGGCATCAAAAAGAAATTAAACTCCAGGTGGAGAAAGAGTGAAAGCCTGGGCTGACAGGAGCAGCTGGGCTGCAAAGTGGAGGCAGAAATTCCTTAAGTTAAAGCTTCCTAAGGCCCCTCGGGCCACTCCCAGGTCTTGTCTGAAGCTATTTACTTCCAGGGGGGAAAACCCTATTGATCTTCATTCAGCTGCTGTCTGTTCCTCCGCAGCAGCGAGATGTCTCAGCGCGTCACCAGTCACTGAGAAATTTCTTATTGTTTTACATGCAGTGGCTTCCTCAAGAAGCAATCAGAGGAGTTGCAGACTGGGCTAGTTTAGGGATTCCTGGGGAGGGGGCCTCACTCCCTGGGGAAAAGCTGCTATTGTCCTCTGGGCTCCGGTACCTTCAAGGAGCCTCAGAACCTCGCAGTTAGTTCTGCTCTGTCAGTAGCCGCTCAGCCACTCCAGAGCTGGGCCAGCCCCTCCCTCTTGCCCCCACCCCCAGCCCCCCCCCACACCTGCTTTATATCTCTGCAGTCATTTGGCTTTGAACCTCTCCACTGACTGGCTGCAGATCCCCACCATCTACCCAAGCTTCTCATCACACAGAAGATTGGCCAGGCTTCCCCAGTGGCTGCCACCACTGCTTGGTTCCCTTTTCAAATTCCAGACTGGCTGTATATGGGGTCAAAGCACATCTGCGAGCCAAGGGAAGATCTAATCGTAAAACCTACAATGATGCTAACAATTTCTTCCAGCTAGCCTGTGCTAAGGGGAACTTTGAATCCATAGGATACCCCATGAAGGTTAAACAAATTGTTTACAGATAGGGAAACTGAGGATCAAGGTAGCAAGGAGGATAGGACATGACCAAAGTGGTCCTGACAACTGGCAGCAGATAAAGCGGGAAAGCCAGGCCTCCCGCTCCCAAGCCTAGCTCTAGGTCATGTAACCTGGAAATCCATGACCCACAGGTCACAGAAGCCCATTTGGCTGAAAAACCCTGCACTAAACTGCTTTCCATTAGTTAAGACTAGGATCCATCCAAACAATAATAACGATGATAATAATAATAAAAAGCTGAACAATATGCCTTGCAAACCTTCAACGAGCAACGCTTGATAATCACACACAGAATAGATCTTCCACATATTCATATAAAATAATCAATGATCATTTTTTCCCGCAGACTACAATCCAATTACTCCCTCTCCCTCACTCTCCTTTGTTACTTGCAAACCATCCAAGCAATCAATGCCTTGACCTCTCCCTCTGATAGACACAATTACAAAAAGACAGAGCAATGCAATTCATCTATTCAAGATGGATTGTTTGAACACTCTGTCACACTGCTGAGCTATCCATCTCCTTGTCTGAGAGGAAATTTCAGCCCCCAAAAGAGGCACAAAGAGAGGGGCGGGTACAATGCTCCCTAGCCTGGAGAGCCTGTCCTGCACCTGCAGGTAAACCCTCTCTGGGCCAGTGCTCAGTGATGCTTGGCTGCTAGAGAAGGAATCAGCTCCAAGCTCAGCCAACCCTGGCACCAATCTTGAGGACCAGAAGCACCCAACATGCTCTGGAGCCCAGTTTCGGGATCTCAATTTCTGATTCCCAAAGCCCCAGCCAGAGCCCTCAGATCCTAGGGGTGGAAGGGATGGGAAAAGAAGATGGCATAAGGCCCAGCCAAGGAGATGTGTTTGGGTTTCAGCATGAGATTCTTTCTCTTTCCCTCTCCCTCTCCTTCCTCTTTTCCTCTCTCAATACAATATCCACTGTAGCTTTCTGGGCTCCAGCTGGGGTTCAAACATAGGCTCAAAGGAATGGAAGCTCAGCTCCGCAGGCCACTCCAGAGAAGTCCGGAGGTCCCAGAGCCTCCCATTCTCCACCCAGGCTGGCACAGTTCCAGCAGTCACGTTTGGCATTAGCACAACATCCCAGTCCTTGGGCTGGGAATCAAATGGGGCAGAGCTCCTGGATATAAATGGTGTGGACAACACGCTAATTAATAGTGGAGCTTAATAGGAAGATTAGAAGAGAAGAGACTCTGCCGTTCTTTAATTACATTATTCCATGCTGAACCCAAGGAAGGACAGCAGCTTTGGGAGCAGGCCTCTCCTCAGGCCACGAGGCACCCCAACCCCATCCAATTTCACGTGAGCGTGAGCGTGGGAAGGTAGGAGGAACACATCAGCCACCTCTTGGTAGGGCCTCCCTCACCTGCTCCTGTTTCTCTGGGCCTCCGAAGATTTGTATCATTGAGGCTGGGCTGGGAGCATACCCATCTCAGCCTGGGGAGGAAGGGTCAAGGAGGAGGGACCTACAAAGCATGAGATGGAAACAGAAGGCCTTTAAGGTCACTGTTTTATCTCCCAAGGATACTCTACCATGCAGGCCCCCAAAAAACAGAAGGAAGGAGAGAAGGGATAGAGGAAGTGCTTATCCACTATTAAAGAGCAGCCTATCCCTGGAATGGTGACCATACTGGGTTCTAGTGAGGCATTTTCAGCTTGCCAAGAGCAGCTTAGATTGCAAAGGGTTAAGCAGCACGGAGAGGGCTGTCCCGAGAGTCTGCTCCTGTGCCTGGCCTTCTCTGACTCTCTCTGCCTGCCAGGGTCCTGGAATACAGATTGAAAGACCTCAGCGTTGGCAGCCCTGAGGACTTTGCTCTGGCCCCATTTTCCTGGTGTCAAGTTCAAGAGGGCCTGGCATGTGGAAGACAGCCAGGGAGGAAACAGACCCTCTGGGGTTGCTGACCACCTTCTAGAAAAACCTCAAGTATGGAAAACAAGCCTAACATCCGTTCCTGCGTCCTCTTTCACAAGACAGGCAGCCCTGACTCCACACCTGAAGAAGCTCCACAGAGGTGGCCCTGGCTGGGCACAATTCTGGCTGCCTTGTGCTGGGCGCTGGCGATGGTGCGTGGAGAACCCAGGTGGTCCAGGTCTCCAGCCTTGGCAATAGGCGTAGAGCCCCAGCGACAGAGGCTCCCCTATCTATGGCCCGGCCGGGCCCAGCCCTGCAGTGGATAGCAGGATACACATGGCCACCCGCACAGCCCCGAGCGCTGCCCACCGGCTACCTTGAGCGGCCACAACAAAGTTAAGGCCCCGAGTGAGAGTAAGTCTCCGTTGAGAAGAGACTCAAGCAGGCCGAGCCTCAGAAAGGCACGCACAGAACCGCCGGCCGCCGCCAGCTGCGGAGGGATTTCGGCTAACTTTGAAAAACACTCGCATCGCTCGGCAACCTTCCCCGGCAGCGCTGGGCGGCCTCGGTCGCTCCCTTCCCCCCACCTTCGTTGTTCCGGGCACAGAGGGGCCCGGGTCTCTACAGAACGGCTGGAGTGACCAGTGGGGGTTGCCCCTCCCCTGTTCCCACCAGAAATGATAAGGGTCTCCTAGACCAAGAGCAGCCACCGCGCGAGCAGACCCCGCTGCCATCCTCCTGCGAATCCGTTCCCAATGCCCCACACCCCGCCACTGCTAGAGCTGTGCCCTAAGTGGGGCCGTGGGGCCCGCTGGGAGCTAGTGGGGGAGAGCTCGAAGTTGGCGCCTTCCCTGGGGCTCCCACTCCGCGGAGAAGCCGGGTCCCAAAACTCGGTCTGCGGCCAAGGCGTGCTAGCAGTGGCCGCGCAATTCTCGGGCTACTCGGGTTAGAATTGGAACCCTTCGCCACACTCCCGGACCTGACCTCCAAGGAGCGCGCCGAGAGTCCCTTGTCCCCCCCCCCCCCCACCCGGCTACGAGGCCTCTTCCCCAATAAGTAAGGCCTGTGACCCTGGCTTTGGAACTTTGTCCTCATCACCGTGAGGAGCTCCAGGTATTTACCCGGCCCTGGCGGCCCGGGGAGAGGTTGGGGAAAAAAACCTCTCTGGATCGCTTTCCGAGGCCCCTATTCCCGCCCCCGCCCGAGCGCTCGGAGACCCCTTCCCCAGCTCCGGGGAGCCCTTACCGATCCGGATGACGTGCGGCATCCCGCGCGAATCTGGGATCCAGAAGGCGCACACGAGGAGCCCGGCCCAGTATTCCCAAACCAGACTCCGGAGGCGCCGCCAGGGAGCGGTCATCGTTGGGCGCCGCCGAGCGTGCCCGGGGCGCGGCCGTGGCGGGCTCCCTGGGGCGGCAGCTCTAGGCGCGGGCGCGCAGCAGCCCCCGAGGCGCCGCCTGGCCCAGCCGCCCGGCTCCTGAGCGCCGATGCGAGTGGGGGGCGCCCCGCGGCGCTGCGCACATCTTACTGGGGGGCCGCCCAGCGGGCGCCCGCCCAGCCTGGCTGCCGCCCACGGGCCGCCCGCGAGCAAGGCTCCTGGGCTCCGCCCGGGCTCTGCTCGGACGCGGCTCCCGCTCGCTTCGGCTCGGCTCCCGCACAGGCTCCCACCTGCCCCGGCTGCCGGGCGCTGGCGGGCGGGCTGCACGCGATCCGGCCGCTCCTCCTCCAGCCGCCGCCGATGCTATCGCCCGGGCTCGCACAAAGCCCCGGAGTGGAGTTGCACGCGCGCACACACTCCCTCCCAGCCCCCTCCCCCGCGCCCTGCCTCCCGCCGCCCGCACCGCCCGCGCTCCCTCCGCGCACTCCCCCGCGCACACACTTCACACTCACACTCGCCAAGGCGCACACTCACGCGCTCACACCTGGGCGGGGAAGGGGACCATGGACTCGGTTTGAGGGGACGCCCAGAGGACTAGCACTCTCCTCGCTTCCCAGACGTCCCCATCCGCCCTGCCGCCCCCAGTCCCTTCGACTGCGAGGGCACAGAGCCCGGGAACCAAGCGTGGAGCGCGAGAGCTGGCACCGCAAGCCGGGAGACGCGGCAGCCCAGAGGCCCGACCAGCTGGAGGAGACGCGCCGCCCGCGGCAGCGAGACCGGAGCCCGCCGTCTGCGGAGCCTCGCCTTCCTGCTCCCTCTCGGCCTGCGCTACTGGACGGCGGCGTCCGGAGACTGACCCGGGGGCCAGTGTCCCTCCTCAGTCCCATCCCTTGGGGAAGCAGAGTTGGGCCTGGAGGACTAGGGTCTGGGGCAGATAGGATTCGAAAAGAACTGTCCAAATGGGGGCAAGGGGAGCTGCGGAGCTAGAAAGGATGGGAGAAGCCAGGCGGGCTTTCTGCACTGAAGCCTGCGCTTAACCGCGCACCGCACCCTCGGGCTGCGGAATAACACCGCTAAACCCTCGGATCCCTGGCCGCTCGTTGGTTGGGGCCCGCGTCTCTCACTGGGCAGTAGGGGCCAATGTCCCCTCCTCAGTTCCCCCTGAGAAACAATAGAGAAACTGGAATTTTTCATGGGACCATCGGGAGAGCAAGCTGCAAGGGTTAAAAAGAATGTTGTTCATTAGCAATAATAAAATTTTTTTTTCAAGTGGCGCGGGGTGTCGAGGGAAGAGAAGGGCTGTGGAGCGAGGCTGGAGCAGGAGGCTGCGAATTACGCAGTTAGGCGAGTTTAATGACCTTTTTGACAGAGACAAAGCGGTGCCGATACAGTAGATAAATAAACGGATCTGTCACCGGGCAGCTAGGTTGTGTGTGAATTTATTTTTCTCATTTAAATAATTTGATCTATTCCATCATTTCTAATCTCTTCCATTTGCCAGCTGTCTGGTAAGAGCATGGCCCCCAACATCTGAAGAGCAAATCTTTAATTTTCTTACAAATACACCATGGGTCTAGCTGCAGCCCGCCTGTTAATTTGCCATCTTTTCATTCCCTCCCTGTCTGGGCGCAAGGGAGCGTGGCATTGCGTGGGGATGCAATGCTGAAGTATGGCCAGTCCTGCCAATTAGGAGGGGACTCCCTCCCACGGAAAGTGGAGGCTAGGTGGACAAGGTAGGGGGTGCTTCCCAGGGCGCTCCCCAGGACAGGTGAGAGCGTCATAACCTACTGCCCAATGGAGGCCGTGGGGTGTCTTGACTTTGCCATACTTGGGTCTCCCTCGCCCTCACCATCCAGCAGGAGCAGCTGGTTTCCCAAGCAGCCACTGGAAAATGTTGCCTAAGGGACAGGAGGGAAGGACATGCAGACCAGAGCCAGAGAAGTGGCAGCTGCCACCTTTTGATAGACAGTAAGCTCCCCCCCCCAGTGGGCCCAACAAGGAAATAGTGCAGGACAGTGGGGGAGCAGAAGGCCCTCCACTCTCTAAGATACTCCCCCACCCCAGCTGCCACCACTGGGTTTGGTTATTCCCAAGGAACCAAAACCCTGGCTATATTCTCTGAGGAAGAAAATTCCAGTGACTTGCTGGAGAAAGGAAAAGGGACCTGAACTCAGGACCAGGATACAGGATTAAAAAGGCTTGGGCAGCAGTGTCCCAGGCTGGCTAGGGCATGAGCTGAAGAGGACAGGACCTGAGTACTAACACAACTGGGTTGTCCTGCAGGTATCCCGCTGACATGTTGGGGGGGGGTCAGTGAGGAACAAATGGCTAGGCAGGAAACCCAAGAAGCAGGAGGGGAGGTGTGGCAGCTCCTCAGCCAGCGGGAGGGAGGGATGAAGGATGGGGAGGCAGCGAGAGGAGGGGGCTCCCCAAAATACTACCAAAAGTGGTGGATGAAAACAGGGCACTCTGGGAGCTCCATTTGAGGGAAAGAGTGTGGCTCTGGGCCCCTCACCTTTCCCGGGAAGGAGCACAGTCTGACCTGCTCCCCTGCACCCCAGAGTGGGCAGGAATCCCCAGCAATGCACTGATGAATATGGAGGCTTTTCTCTGTGGCCGCTGGGCTGCGATGAGAACAGGCTTCCCAGCTGCAGAGGCTGGGGGCGGGGCGGGGGCTCAGATATTGGGTTTGCCAGCCCAGTGGGGGCCCTGGGATGACTTGGAAACCACTACCCCCACCCCGGGACTAGACCTCCTTCCTGACCCAGCTATGAGCCATTCTGTGACACAGGCTTGCTTCCCTACACTGACAGCAGCCTGCTTCCTCCCTGTCTAGGGGAGGGTGGGACACACCATCCAATCAAGCTTTCTCCATTCCAAATGAGATGCTCACTACCTGGCTTGTGTCACCTTATCCCATCCCCTCCTCAACCCACCCTGTTAGGAGTTTGGTTATCTTCCCATTTTACTGATAAAGACTCTGAGCCTCAGAGGGGTTAAGAAGTGCAAAAGCATACTGCTAGTCCTTCCCTCTCTTCCTCGCTTCCTCTCTCCCACTAATATTTATTGCCATTACTGTTTGCCAGGCCTTGGATGAGGAGCCAAGGTTTACATGAAAGCCCACCCAATTGCTGGCTCAAAGGTTGCCCGTGTCCATCACCACCTAGGCTGAGGGAGCAGGCTCTGGACAAGACCTTCTTCCCTTCCTCTGTGGAGGCAGCTGGATCCTTCAGCTGCCTGTGGGAAGGCTGAGAGTACAGTAGGATCAGGGTCCTTTCCTGGGGCAAGCTGGGAGCCCCTGTGGTCCCTAACTCCTGAAGAGAACCCTACAGCCCCCTCTCCAGTCCTGCGCAGTCAGCAAGCACCAGAGCTGGCATGATCTCAAGCCGCATCTCTGGGGATTGGGAGCCACCAATCCTGGCTTTTTGTATTGTTGGTAAACAAGTCTACCCACCAGCCAGGCTTCAGCTCCCCGCTTCCCCAAGAGGCCGCCAGCGCTGGATTTATGAGGCCTCCAAACCTCATTCAGACTAATGCAGCTTTTCATTCCCAAATAAAAGGGGCCGCTGTCTGAAAGGACAAGTGCTCCCGCATTTCATTAACATCCCCTAAAACGGCTGAGCTGGCCCAAGTCGCTGCCAGTGAGATTCATGTCTCCCACCGGCTCACAGGTGGGGTGAGCATAAGACTCCTAGGAATGAACCAGATTGTCAGCCCCGCCCTGGCCCCCTCTCGGGGCCCCTCTCCAGCTTCTGCCTGCCTGAGAGGTGGCCCTCAATGATGGCCTAGTGAGCTCATTTGGATGTGTCCCCTGTGTGTGTGTTTTGTTTAGACCCATCCACTCAGCTCTCAATCCCCCCACAATCATGGTGAGTGATGAGGCCCTGGGCTCGAGTTACTGAGATTCATGATCTCCACTTCCCTGGGAAGCCACAGAGCAGAGCGTTAGGCTGCTGAGTGCGGATTCCTAGGACTTGAGTGCCCTCTGCTGAAGCCTGCCTACGTTAGCTCCTCCAGCTGCCCAGCTGCCTGCGGCCCTAGCCCCAACCCTCAGTGTAGAGACTGCACTGCTGGGACCACTTTGTGACCTGCTTTTGGGCACACTGGGGAGAGGCTACATTCCTCCCTCTCAGTACAGCACCAGAGGGGACAGCTGCCTTGCTTGATCCTTGCCAGCTGCCCAAGCAAGGCTGAGAGGGCAGAGGACACACCAGGACTCTCGGTATTTTACAACACTGTCTTGATAACAAAGCATATCCTCACCATAAAAGCCATGACCTTTAGAGGACACTAGGACCTGCCTCTTAGCTCAAGGACAGTGACTTTTTCAGCACCCTTTGTCCCTCATCCCTATGGAAGGAAGGGAGAATTACAGCCAGGCAGCTACCCATGCAATCAGCAAGTCCAGTAAAGATGGCATCTCCTTAGATTTTTGTCAACAGTCAAGCAAGTTCATTCCCACGGAAGTCAATTCCTGTGTTTATTGTCAGCTTAACCCGCTGCTGCAAGTTATTTCTCAGCAGTAAGGGAGACAGGTAGACAAGCCACCAGAGATATGTTATTTTACTGACATCTGCGTTTCAATGGTTCAGGTGCAGTTCTGGTGGAGGAGTAAACGAGACGCGAGACACAGCAATCCTATTTGTATCTATACATAATGGAACAGCGCTGATGGGCGGAAGCCCAAGGGGCCCTGCTGCCAAGCAGGGGGAGGCAGGGAGAAGTGCCTGAAGAGGCTACAGCCTCGCAGCCTCCTTCGCTCAGCACCTGGAGTGTGGACAAGTCACACTCAGCCACCTGAACATTCAGACATTCTCTAATTAATTCATTAATGTAATCACTCAGTCATTCATTGGGTCACATTCATTCATTCATTCATTCATTCATTCATTCATTCATTAGTTCATACTCTCGCCCCTTGTTCTTATCCACTCATCCATTCACCCACTCACTGATTCATTTTCTCAGGCCCCTCTTCCATGTTCATTCAGTTACCC